ATTCCCGCCAAAACTGGTTTGGCTCAGTGGATAGAGTGTCGGCCTGTAAACTGAAAGGTCTCGAGTTCAATTCTGGTCAAGGGCATGTACCTTGGTTGTGGGCAGCTGATCGATGTTTCTCTCTCATCAATGTTTCTAACCCTCTATCCCTCTCTCTTCCTCTTTGTAAAAAATCAATAAAATATATATATTTTTTAAAATCCCAATGCCCAAAATGGAAAATTTGAGCAACAAACTTTTCGTACTGATTAGAATTCAGCATGTAACATATAACCAATGCATACAAATAATCTATCTATATATAAAAAAGCCTAAGCAATCCTTACAATTGAATGACCAGAACAACTGGTGGATCAGTTGCTATGACACACACTGACCACCAGTGGGCAGATGCTCAACGCAGGAGCTGCCCCCTGGTGGTCAGTGTGCTTCCACAGCCAACCTCCCACAGTTGACCAATGTCTCCTGGTCCCTTCCCACAGCCTGCCGGGCCCCCATCTGCCTGATGGGGACAACCTCCCACAGTCCCTCTTCCCATCTGATGGGGGGTGGGCAGGCCAAGGAACCCCACCTGTGCACAAATTCATGCACCGGGCCTTTAGTGAGTAATAATAAATGGACCAACAAAATACAACCTGAAGCAGGGAGGCACGGGACAGACTGACATACCTCAGTGTAAGGTTGAGGGGATGAGGAGAGAAAAACCAAAGAACTTATCCTATATAATAACAGCATAATATGCTAAGTGTCCCACTGCTTGTTCAACCATTTAACCAATCGCTATGATGCACACTGACCCTCAGAGGGCAGACACTCCGATCGGTAGATTAGCTTGCTGCTGGGGTCTGGCTGATTGGGACTGGGTGAGACAGGCTGGACATGCCCTGGAGCCCTCCCGTGGTCCCTCCCTCGGTCCCTCCCGGGATGGATTGCAGGCCAGGCCGAGGGACCACATGGGCACACGAACCCCTGCACCAGGCCTCTAGTGTGTTATATGCACAGCCCACGGACATGGCATTAGGGTAGTGAAGGCCTGGGGTGGGTAGGGGCTGGGAGGAGGGGGATGAAGCAGGGGAAGTGGGAGACATCTGTAACACTATCAACAATTAAATAGATACGGCCCAGCTGGTGTTTCTCAGTGGTTGAGCATTGACCTATGAACCAGGAGGTCACCGGCTGAATCCCGGTCGAGGGCACAAGCCCAGGCTGCAGGCTCGATCTCCCATGGGTGGCGTGCAGGAGGCAGAAAATCAATGGTTCTCTCGCATCATGATGTTTCTCTGTCTCTCTCCCTCTCCCTTCCTCTCTGAAATAAAAAATATAAATATGTACCTTAAAAAATAAATATATATATATATATAATTTTAAAAAATAATAATAAATGGGAGAATATCTCCCATGCAGAAGAATTCAATGTAATTCCTGGGGAGCCTACCCCTGGCCCCGTCACAAGGGGGAGCCCCAGCGCGAGGCCCGGCAGCGCGGGCTGAGCCCAGATGTCCTCCCGGAGAGGACAGGGTGGGGAGAAGAGAGACAGGACAAACGCTGCCTCGGCCAGGTGCTCAGGTCGCCTGGGTGGTGCCTTGGATGGTGTGACAAGAGGGCGCTTGACCCGCCCCCCCATACCCTCCCTGGTCATCCTTCCAATCCAGCCTCAGCCCAACCCCGACAGGAACAGCAGAGGGCGCCCTCAGCCCACGGCCACGGCCCGAGGAGCTGGGCCGCCGGGAGGGCCTGGGGAGGTGCTGGCGATGCCAGGTCCTGGGTGGGTCCTGGGCGAGAGAGGGCCCTCAGGGAGCGGAGGAGGCTCTGCTGAGTTCTCGATGGCGTGTCCGCATTGGTTCCCTAACTGACCAACGCATCCTAGCGCGCGTGTTAGCGTGTGTTCTCCAGGGCAGAACCCGCAGGAGGCAAAGATGATCATCAATGGATATGACAGCAAGCTCGGCTGCTCCTCGGAGCATGCTCCCTCCTCGGCCCCCCGCGGCTCCTGCCAGGGTCACAGGCCACGGGAGGCGGGGGCAGGCCCGGGAACCGCCTTCCTTGGGAACACGTGTTCCCTAACTGACCAACACATCCTAGCGCGTGTTAGCATGTGTTCTCCAGGGCAGAACCCGCAGGACGCATGTGGACATCACGTAGACACACTAGTAGTGCAAGCAGGTTTATCTTCAGGACCTGCTCATGGGACAGGATTCCCCGGGGGAGGGGGGTAATAACAGGTGACGGGACACTCCGAGGTTCCCGGTCAGGCTGGCCAGTTCCCGGTGCCGCGGGCCCGGAGGACACGCTGAGGACACGCTGAGGGCCTGCTGTGGATGGAAGTGATTCCAGCGCGGGGAAGTCTGCGGGAATGTCAGCACGCACGGCCGTGTCGGGGTCCCCTCTCTGCTCCCCCAGCATCGTCAGTGGCAGATTTCAGACACCGGGTGGTGCCAAGGGCCACACGAAGCACTGGCCTTCCGGGGGCTTGCGGCTTCCCCCGTGAGGGAGAGTCCACGGGGGCTGCCCCCGCCCTCTGTGCCCCCTCCACACACACGCCATGGGCAGGAGGGGCAGGTCCAGCAGAGAGACGTCTGTGTGAGGGTGGTAGGTGAAGGTGAGTGGAGGGTTCCGGAGTCTCGACAGCTCTTCCTGCTCCGGCCCAGGGCCCGGCCCCCTCCCCCAGCCTCAGTTTCCCCCGGTATTACAGGCCCCCACCCCCCTGCACCCTCAGAGCCCTTCACTCCCTGGTCCAGTGTGACCCGGTGGCCTCCGTCTCCTCTCGGGGTCACCGCGCTTCCTCCCCGTAGGCAGACCCAGGGGGAGGGGAGCCCGACAGGGCTCTGCTCTGTGGGGACCTAATGTGGCTTCGGGGCGGACGGGAGCCCCTGCGTGGGGCTGGGCAGCACGGCTCTGGGGTTTGGCGTGAACAAGTGGTTCTGGGAGTAAAAGCTCCCGCTGCTGTGGCCCGAAGCTGGTCCACGGGGGGGGCAGGTTTGTGCTGGGAAAGGCCCCCATGCCATGCGGGGGGGGGGGCCAGGTTTGTGCTGGGAAAGGCCCCCATGCCATGCGGGAGGAGGGACAGGTGTGGGGGAGGAGGGAGTGAGGCTGAGACTGGCGGGCCACCCAGGCCTGCGGGAGTGGCTGTCTCCGGGGCAGCCTCACCCCAGGACCTGCCAGCACCCCATCCCACCCGCGGGAAGAGGGGGAGCCTCTCAGCAGCCAGGGCGGGTCAGGTCTCACCTGGGAAAGAGCCACCTGGCTGGGCGACTGGGTGTCTAATCCACAGCCTCCCCCAGCGGTAATTACAGGTCCGGGCGGAAGGATTATTCTGAGGGGGCAGAGCCCGGCCTGAGCTGGCAGGGACCCCGCTCGGTGGAGGTGCTCCTCGGAGCATGCTCCCTCCTCGGCCCCCTGCGGCTCCTGCCCGGGTCACAGGCCACGGGAGGCGGGGGCGGGCCTGGGAACCGCCTTCCTTGGAACATGTGTGGCTTCCAGGGAAGAGCAAAGTTAAACACGTTCTCAGGTGATGCTGGCGTCATCAACTCACCACTTCTCTTTCTCTTTAAAGGCGCTCTTTCTTAAAAATATATAGTTTTATTGATTTCAGAGAGGAAGGGAGAGGGAGAGGGAGAAACATCGATGGGAGAGAATCATGGATCTGCTGCCTCATGCACACCCCCGTCTAGGGACCGAGCACTCAACCCGGGCACGTGCCCTGACCGGGAATCGAACCGTGACCTCCTGGTTCATAGGCTGATGCTCAACCACAGAGCCACGCCACCAGCTGGGGCACCACCGTCCCTAGTGACACGCTATCTGCGGGCCGTGGGTCCATGTGGTTCTCAGCTCCCCGGCTTGTGCCCACGCCGACCCATCGGGCCTCAGGGCTGTGGCCTCCAACACAGTCCACATGAAGGCTCAGGTCCTGGGGGGTGATGTGACCCAATCTGTCTGCCTCAGTCCAACCCGGGCCATCCCCCGGCCCCGCCCTCTCCTACTTCCTTCTGTTCAGCAACAAGGACTGGAATCAGCTGAGCCAAGCAGGCCAAGCCCCAAACTCAGCCACGAGGCAGTGAGTGCGGGTCCTCACAGGCCTCGTGTCCGGCTACAAGCGCACATCCTGAGCGATGCCCCGGGACCTGGCCTAGCCGTGAACACAGGTGAACACACATGGGAGCTGGGGCAGAGTGGTCCATGGGGGCGGGATCCTCAGGCAGGGGGACTGTGGGGCGGGCAGCAACGGGCCTGCTTGCTCTGGGATCGTCCCGGCTGCTGTGTGGGGCTGCGGGGACCTTCCAGGCCGGACAGGGGTGGGGAGCGCAGCCAGTGGGTGTGGTCACGATGCTGGCTGGGTGGGCCTGTGAGCACCAGACGGGTAAGACGCCTGAGGGAGGGGGACAGGCTCAGGGCCTCCGGGACTTAACCCCCTGGGGACAAGTTGGCGCCTGTGCATCCTGATGGTAGACGCTTGGGCTTTTTATAGGGGTGGAGGCTGAGGTCTGCAGAGGGGGGAGGACTGTTAGAGGTCACACAGGGCCTGGACGAGGCAGGACAACCGGGGCTCAGCATCCCGCAATGCCTGCCGACAGCGCGGGGACGTGGCCTTGGCGTCTGGCGGACATGTGGGGACAGACAGGCCCCCTGCCCTCCCCAAGGACTGCTGGGCGGGCGATGGATGCTCAGAGAAGGTGCATGTCCCCTGAGCAGGAAACAAGCTTCCGAATAACTGTTCCCGCCAGAGCACTGCCCTGCTGGGGGCCAAGGCCTGAGTTCGCCCCAGGTGCCCAGCCTGCCCGTGGGTCTGGAGGCAGGGGTTGCCTAGATCAGCAACCGGGCAGCTCCTTGCCCCGCACGGGTGACAGGGGACTCTGGGGACACCTGGCAGCTGCAGTCAAGAGAGAGAAGCCGGGCAGCTCAGCCAGAAATGCCAACACCAAAGCCCCTGGGCATCATGGCCGCCGGCCGGGTCCCTCTGAAACTGCCGCTTGCCCTCCAGTGCTCACAGGCCCGGGTGAGGAGGGCCAGCTGTGCTGGGAGGGCCAGGCCCACTGCAGGGGACATGCCAGCGGCTGCGGCCTGAGGCTGGCGACCTTCCTGCCAAGCCCTGGACCAGGAGGGGCAGCTGCGCTTCCCCTCGAGCTATAAAAAGCCCAAGCCCAGCCCCGCGAGCAGAGGGCAGAGCGAGGGACAGGACGCACGGAGCTTGGAGCTCAGACTGGCAACATGAGGTTGGGCCCCGCCATCAGGCTGCTGCAAGCCCCCCTGAGGGCCTGCGTGGTCCCCAAGGCGCACATCTCCGCCAAGCCGGCCAAATCCCCCACTTCTGCCCCCGTGAGTACTGGGGCCGGCCCAGGGAGGGCTGGCAGTCCCAATTCCCAGGATGAGGCGGCTTTCAGGGGGGTCCCAGGAAGCCTGGCTGGTCCAGGGAGAGGGAACGGTCGCCCTCCCAGCCTGGCGCTGCCAGAAGGGAACTGGGAAAGGGGCCTGTCTAGGGCGGGCGGGGCTTTGTCCCAACTGCAGCTGTGGTCCGGCAGTCAGCTGTCCGTCGGGCCTATTCTCAGGCTCCACTGCCTCTGCCAAGGCAGGTGCCGAGGCTGAACTGGGAGGGGCCGAGGGGTCCCGCAGTCACCGTGGGAGGGGAGGTGGGCTCTCCGAGGGCCGGGGGAGCACAGGGGGAACTGACCTGGGCCAAGCCTAAGTAACCAAGGTTAGGAAGGTCACCAGCCCAAGGTCATGTGCTGGGAAGGGAAGCCGGAGCTCCCCGAGGCCTCTGGGGTTGAAACTAAAAGGAGGGTTAGTGTCCCCCCCTTACCCCCTTCCTCCCCTGCTAATCAGGCACCTGATCTAGGAAACGGGAGGGCCAGGCTGCTCCAGGAGGAACCAGGGGGAAGCAGAGCTGCCTCTTCAGAACCCGCCCTGGCGGGAGAGCACAGGGAGCCAGGCAGGCCCCACGCACGCACTCACAGCCAGGAGCCCAACAACCCCGGGCTCCGGACAGGCCCCCACTCCGAGGCCGCCCTTGTTTCAAGCAACTTAGAACCTGGGCGGTCTGCCGCCCGCAGGCCCTGACCGGCAGCACCTGCGCCCTGGGAAGGAGTCAAGGTCGAGGGAGCCGGGCGGGCTCAGGGGCCGGCCAGACGGACACCTCCCGTGACCCAGGCCTGGTGCCTCCCATGTGTCTCCCCGCAGGAGCAGGCCGTGGCGCTCGTGGTGACCTTCTTCAGCTTCATGCTCCCCTCGGGCTGGGTGCTGTCCCACCTGGAGAGCTACAAGAAGCGCTCCAGCGAGTGAGGATCCACCGAGTGAGGCCCCACCCAGTCCGCCCCGTGACGTCTGCCAGTGAGGCGGGCAGCCGCCGACGCCGTGGGCACGGGAGGGAGCTCTCATTAAACCCTCCCCACCGAACGCTCGCTGTGTTCATGCATGCGCCGCCTCCCCGGACTCAGCACAGGGCACGCGGGTCACAGGAGCCGCTGGCTTCAGGCAGGGGGCAGACCTGTCAGAAGGCGTCCGGCCCTCGCCACCACTCCACCCGTCCCGCAGTGCAGGAGCGCTCTCCTCAGAGGGGAGGCCAAGGCCACTCCCCCAAACCCCCATTCCCTCTGTTGCCTCGAGGCTCTGCAGACACAGGCGTGGCCTGGAGGGTGAGCCACGGAAACCACAGCGAGGACACGGCAGCGGCTTTTATTGCAGGGCCCTTGGGCCACCTGGGAATGCGCTCACACGGGGTGGGGGGGGTGGGGGGGGCAGATCGACCTGGAGCGGTGCCATACGCAGGGCCCACCCTCCAACCAGCGGGCCCCACCCTCACTGCGGTCAGGAGACACCACGGGGCCTTTCCCAGGAAGAACGTCCTGCCCAGCAAAGCCCGCCTCGGCGGGGAGCCTGGGGGGATGGCCGCGGGAGGCACTAGGTGAGGACGTCGTGTGCCTGGTGCTCCACCAGCATCTCCATGCTCTTGACGTCCGTGCACCAGGACTCCAGGCGCTCCTTCATGCCCTGGATCTGAGGGCGGAGGCAGAGTGAGGCACAGTGAGGGCCTAACGAGGGATCCCGAGCTGGGGTCGGGGGGAGGACACGGCACCCCACAACCATCTCCCACAAGCACATTTTCACACGCTGGCAGGAAGCCAGCAGGCAAGAACAGGGGAAATCCACAGGATTAAGTTCCAGCCAATGTGAGGATGGATTTAAGCTCAAATCACATAAGCAGGAAGGTGCCCGATCAGAGACCAATTTTAGGATTAAAGGGCATCACCACCTACCAGCACTGTTACCACAATCGCTTTTAAACACAGGGTTCAGGTCCCAGGCGGCAGCGAACCCTGAAACCCTGCCCCGAGCAGGAGCCGCCCCGGAGCCCCTTCCCTCCCGATGGCCAGCGTCACCTGCTGCAGATCCAGCACACGGGGCTGCACCCAGGTCATGTGGACCCGCGCGTCCACCTCGTCGATGCTGCCTTTCACCAGCCCCACCGACAGCGCCTTCATCACCAGCAGCTCCACCTGCGCAGAGGGCGGGTCAGGGTGCTGCCCAGTGCCGGGAAGGACCGCCCCTCTGTGGTTGAGGTTGGGGAGCAGGGTGCCCCCCCCCCCCCAGGAGCCCAGCCCCTCTGGGACAGCCCAGTCCAAACACTGTACCTCGTTCACGCTGATCTTAGAACTTTTGGCAATTTCTTCAAAAGTGAGTTGTCTGTGATTGGCAGGTCGTGTGAAAGTCATCTGAAAAAAATTTTCCAAGTGAGAACTGTCAGAAAACCGAGTAAGGATCCTTTTGTCAACACTTGCTCTGAAAATGCAGATACTAGTACCTCTACACTCCAGCTTTCTCAGTGCTAGCCCTGGATCCATTACCACCAGCTCTCAGTGCCCAGGGGAGACGGGGAGATCAGCCGCACAGCCGCACGGCGGCAGCTTTCTGCCCGTCACTGTCCACCCTGAGCAAGTGCTCGGAGCTAGGGACACTGCGCTGAGCCGAACACAGAGCCCTTTTCTCAAAGGCTCAGACTCACTGGCCACCGGGGCTCAGTAGCGCCGACCTAGGAACCAGGAGGTCACAGTTCGATTCCCGGTCAGGGCACAGGCCCAGGTTGTGGGCTCGATCCCCAGTGTGGGGCGTGCAGGAGGCAGCGATCCATGATTCTCTCATGGATATCCCTCCCTCCCTTTCTCCCTCCCTCTCTCTCTCTCTTTCCCTCTCCCTCCCTCTCCCTGCCTCTCTGAAAGCAATGAAAAGATCTTTAAAAAGAAAAAGGCATCAAAAGGCTCAGACTCCAGCGGGAGTCAGAGGGGCTGTAGACAAGGAGCGGCGAGTGCCAGGTGGCGGCAGCTAGGTTAGCTCCGATGTCCGGCGGGCTCTCTGAGGAGGTCATGGGCGCTGAGACCCAAATACAAACAGAAGAGCAGTGGGGTTGTTCTACGGTAGCTGCTTCACTAGCTTCAGCTGCACCAGGGCTTGGGGTGAGCAGGACCGCGCCACCTGCCGGCTTCTCAGCACAGAGGGTGCTGGCACTCGCTTACCTCCATGAGGCAGAGCAGCTGGATTTTCCTCAGAAGCTGAGCCTCGTTGGCCGCAAGATCAGGCTGTGAAGGAGAAAGACACGTCACCTGACCAGCAGGTGGGACAGAAATAGCACTTGCCTGAGGCTCCCGAAAGCACTGGGAAATGACTAGAGCAGCGCCCAGCTGGAGGCCGGTTCCCAGACCAGAGCGTGGCCCGGCAGAGCTGTTCCGGTGTCAGACAGCAGGGGGCGGGCCTCAGTCCCAGGGCTTTGTCCCGAGGGGAGAGCACGTTACCAGCTTCCCTGGAGGCAGCCCCAGAGGACAGTTATCTGCTGAGCTCAGAGCCACACTCAAGACGGGTTCATGACCCCAACCCCGCCCCGCTCTGCGCACCTGGAGGTCACATTCTGTCAGAGGCTGCGTCACCCTCCCCCAGCGCTGTCCGCAGGGCGGAGCAGACCACTACACCTGAGCTACCCCAGGGTGCTGCCTGCCTGTCCCCGGCGATAGGGAGAGGCAGGGGCGGCCTGGACTGACCTGCTGGCCCCAGGCGGCCTTCAGCGTCTGGAACTGCTCCACGTTGCCGCTGTTGAAGGCATACAGGGTGTCGATCAGCCACTGCCGGTCAGTGCCCCTCAGCGACTCCAGCACAGGGTGCATGAGCTGCGGGACAGAGACGGTGAGCTGGCAGCGCACACTGCCCGTGGCGACGCGTCTGTGCCCTGGGCCCACTTACCAGTTCTCCGAAGTTAAACACTCCCTCGCCGAGAAGTCCCGCCAGGCCCAGCGTGAAGGCTCTCTCCTGCTGCTCCGGCACTAGGACAACACCCCTCGTCACACACATCAGGAGGACACCCCCCCCCCCACAAAGCCCCGGGGGGGAGGGAGGAAAGGGGCACGGCAGCACCCCAGGGGGTCACAGCAGAGCGCTAACAGGCGCCTGGTGACAGCGCTGGGTTCAGATCCTGCAGGCCCGCCTTCACGGGCTCTGTGGGAAGTGCACCCATCCACTCTCCCCCCCTAAACCATGTGACTACCTCCCTTCCCGCCTGTGCTCCCAGAGCCCTCTAGTGGGAGCGTGCCCCGTTGAGCTTGCTTAGCCTCTTCCCACCCAGAATTAGAGTCCCCGCCACATCGGCTGCCTGTCTGGGCCCTCTTGGAGATGCAGCCATGACACTCACTTCCAGGAGTTGCTGCTCTCCGAGGCTTCAACAGTGAACTGTGAGGAACCTCTAAAACCTGCCCAAGTTTCCTCTGTAAACACATTCACCACCCTCTTCCCGACTCAGGGTCTTTTCTTTCCTCCCTCAGGTCCCCGAGAGGTTTCTGCTGCTCGTCCCTGGGCCGGAGGCGCAGGCTCTCACAAAGCCCCGGGGGTGGAGGGAGTGCTTAGGCTCCTTTCCCCGAACGAGACACCAAAGACTCGTCCAGCGTGGAAGCTACTGCTTCAGCCACCCTTCCCGCTCCAGCACGGCTTCCTTCCCAAGGGGAGAGGCACCGAGGGCTGAGACCTGCTGCCTCCAGCCCCCCTCCCCGCCCCCCAGCATCCGCAGGCGGGCTTCTGAGGGACACCGGCCAGTGCGGGTCTCACCTGGCAGGTCCTTGATGTCGACGCAGCCCAGGAAGCGCAGCGCGTCCTTGTAGTAGGAGGCGTGGTTGCCGATGGTCTGGTAGTACTTGCTGGAGAGGTCGTAGAAGCGGCTGTGCACCGACGTCACGCCTGGCAGGTTGTTGAGCATTTCTTCGACATCTCCGATGGTTTCCTGTTCCCAGGAAGCAAGACGGACCTCTCTGTAGCTTACAGCGTTGTAAAGCAACACGTGACAAGACGGGAAGCGGCAGGAACCTCAGCCCTGCCGAGGGGCTCGGTGGGGTGTCCACCCGTGCACCAAGAAGCCGCCGGTTCGAATTGCGGTCAGGGCCCAGGCCCAGGCCCAGTAGGGAGTGTATAGGAGGTAGCCGATCAACGATTCTTCCTCTCTCTCTAAAATCAATAAAAAACAGACCAAAAGGCTCCAGGACAGGAAACTCTGACATGAAAAGGATGCAGAAGAGGGGGGGCAGCAGCATGGGACCTGAATGGCGGACCCTGGTCCACTAGGGCCCTCAGGCTGTGCCTGGCTGAGGCTGTGGCCCCTGCGGAGCCAATACGCTGGGTCCTGTTTGTGGGAACGGCGACAACCACCAACTTACTCTTAAGTGGTTTCTGAGGAAAAAGCCGGGCACACAGACGATGGGCAGGGGGATGGCAGCAGTGGGAGGAAAGGACACAGGAGTTTGTGCTATTTCACAACTTTCCTGTAACTTATTTTAAAGTAAATAAAGAGGAAAAATAGGATTTCCCCAATAGTTTTTTCTTTTTTGTCATTGTTGCTAGCCCTCAGCTAAGGCTATTTTCTCCATTGATTCTTAGGAAGTGGGAGGGGAGGGAGGGAGGAAAAATCGATGTGAGAGACACAAACGGATTGGCTGTCTCTCCCACACACTGACCGTGGCCGAGCTGGAACCCGCAGCACAGCAGGTGCCCTTGACCAGGATTCAATCCCATGGCCCTTCAGTGCGCAGGCCAGCGCTCTAAGCACTGAGAAAACTGGCCAGGGCTTAAACAGCCTATTAAACCAAAGACAAACCTGTGACGGCGACCTCACCTTTGTGACCTGTAGGTCCCCGATGTTCAACTTCAGGGCTCCGATGGCAGTTTTACACAAGATCACGGCCTCGTCACTGCTCTTCACCTACAGACACCGGAAACAGGAACCTCAGACGGGTGGGCAGTGGCCCACAGAGCAAGGCACCCGCACCCTGTGGGCTGCCATGGGCAGAGCCTGGTCTCCAGGGCTGTGGACAGTGAGGGAGCACAGACACAAACACATGTTTAAGAACTTCACACGTACCTTCTCACGCGTCTTCTCCAGAAAAGTAAGAGCCACGTTAGGATCTAGAAAAGGAAGCAGAACCAGCTCAGAAGAACCACCAAAGGTCTCTTTACAGACTGGTCTCTACCAACCAGCATGCTTTTACGTGGGGTAACCTTGAGATTTGGAACGTAAACAAAGATAAAAATGTTAGAACTGGATATTTTCTATCAAAATGCAATAAAGCTCCATTCCGTACGCTTCGAGGCCACGGAGGCAGCTGGCACCGGGACCAGCCCTGCCAGCAGCAGGCCACTCACCCGTCATCTGTCTGACCACGTGGAGGATGATCTCCACCAGGGACAGGGGGTTCACCCTGAAACACAAGCACAGACGTGAGCGCCACGCCTCGGCGCTTCCTTTCCGAAGTCGACAAGCAGAGGGCCTTACCTGTGCTCGAAGTCACTGATGAAGTTTTCGTAAAGCTGTGGAGCAAAACGTGGAGAGAAGTCAGACACCTGCATCTGCAGAGCCAGCCGGACCTCGCACGGCGGGCACGTTTCCCAGGACCCCCGCGTGTGGTTATTAGGTTCACACAGATGATCACCCACGGATACGACAGCAAGCTGGGCTGTTTCTGGCTTGGGGCATTGTACCGGCCTAGAAGGCTCTCTGAAGACCAAGTCCTATGTTCTCCTCCAAAGCACCGGGTGGAGAATTTAGAGCCCAGGACCAGCAGGTTAGAAGGACTGCAGGCACATTAGTCCCATCTCCGGTCCCCAGCCACTCAGCAAGCACCAGGTGCTGCCCCGGGCTCCACGGGGGTCCGTGCTTCGTGGGGACTCATGAAATAAACAGCATCGCCGAGAACTCAGGAACAAGGGGAATCAAAGCACACAGGTGGAGCAGCCAGAGAGAGAGGTTCCCCCGGCTGGTGTGGCTCAGTGGGTAGAACATCGGATTGCACACTGAAAGGTTCCGGGTTTAAGTCCCGTCAAGGGCACATGCCAGGGTTGTAGGCTCCATCCCCAGCAGGAGCTGTGCAGGAGGCATGATTCCCTCTCATCACTGGTATTTCTATTTCTCTCCCTTCCTCTCTGAAATCAATTTTTAAAAACTATGTGTGTGTGTGTGTGTATTTTTTTTTAAACAAACAAACAAAAACAAAGGGAAAGGTTCCAAAGGTTATTCCAGAAATGGTGACGAGTTCTAGGGAATGCAGAGCAACGAGGTGGCAAGTTTGGTACAGGAGAGGGGCAGCTGGATAATCCAGACGCGCCAGGCAGGAGGGAGCATGTGCAGCACGGGAGAAACCTCCCTGTGGTGCGGGAGGGTTTCTGAAGGACGGACAGCGAGCGGGAAGCGGGTCTCTGTCCCGCTCAGGGCTGAGCCTCTGGTGGCACGTGATCACAAGCCTGTTCTGACAGTAAGATCCAGGAGCATGCCACATGACTGCATCTTAGGAATATAGATGCCAGAACGTGTGTCACTTATGCGCTGCGATCTAAGGCAAGCCACTCAACCTCTGGGCTCTGCTCCTACGGCACAGAGTCGGCCACAGCACGCCTGCCTCCCCGTGTTGCTGCGAAGAGTGAGTGAGTACACGTGTGAACAGTCCCTGGCACACAGTGACTGCTGACTCAGCGCAGCGTCTTGTCATTGCAAACCCCACCCGCCATCTCCTAGTCCTGGAGCACATTTAGGCAACCTGACCCAGCATGACAAGGCAGTTACCTTAATAAGACCATCTCCTTGGGCAAAGCACGGGTCCTGCACAAAGTCCAGCACCTGCAGTGTCAGCTGATGCCACAACCTGAAAAACGTAAGACCTAGAAAGTAACGTCCAGTCACAGGCGCGGCCGGCCCTTGTGCGGGAGCAGAAACCTCTCCGCTGAGTGCAGGGAGGGTGCCACGGAGCCCTGTTCTTTCCTGGCTCCCCTCCTCCGAGGTAGGACCCCCGAGAGCGCCTCTCCTCTCCGAGACCCAGCGATAAACGGAGAACATCCCTCCAGACCACCTCCCAGGGTCCCTGTGAGGTGCGGTGGAGGCAAGAACTTTGGAATCGTACACATTCAAGTCCAAACCCTAGCTCTTCCGCCTGGCAACCGAGCGCCTCAGGGAAGGAGCTTCCACTGAGCTCATTTCCCCTCAGTGACGGGGTGATTGACAGTGAGTGCAGGGAACTCTCTGGAATGACAGCACATTTGAAACCAAAGGCTAGTTTTTAAGGATGCAAGTAAACTGCCCTGAAAAATACCAAGTGCTGCCCTGTGTGGCTCCGTGGTTGAGCGTCCAACTGTGAACCAGGAGATCACGGTTGACTCCTGGTCAGGGCACACGCCCCAATTGCGGACTCCACCGCCAGGGTGGGGTGTGCAGGAGGCAGCCGATGGTTCTCCCCCATCATTGATGTGTTTATACCTCTCCCTTCCTTTCTTCAATAAAGACATTTACTTCTTTAAGTATATTCTGGTTTCAGAGGGGAAGGGAAAGGGAGCCTTTAACCAAATGCAGACTCAACGCGGAAAAGGCAGACCTGCGCCGGGCTCTGGTCCCCCGGCTCCAGAGGGCGAGGGCCTGGGCAGTCAGTAGGACGAGGCCGAGCGCAGGACGCCAGGATCTGCTGTCCAAGCCCGGGCGCTGGCTTGTTGGGGTGGAACGAGGATAACGCTACCGGCCAGCCCAGAACCCTCTTCTGAGATCGGCAAGTTCAGAACCCCGGCACAGTCCCTCGCTCAGGAGGGTGAAGGCTGTGATCCCAGGGCCCCCAAACCCCCATCCGCGTGGCTGCCACCCCGCCCCGCAGGTCGGAGCGCCCCCGGCCCGCCAGGCCCGGCCCCTCCGCGGTGCCCTCCCGCCCCGGCCCACCGCACGCTCCCTCCGCTGCGCCCGCCTCAGCCTCACTTCTTCGTGTAGAGCTCCTCCAGGCGGTGCCACACGGCGGCCTCGCCGGGCCCCGAGCTCTGGCTCTGCTGGAGGAAGCCTGGCACATCCTTCATGACGGCGAAAGAAGCCAAAACGGCGCTGCCACCGAGAAGTCCGCGCCGCGGGGACGGCTGCCGGAAATGCTCACTCACTTCCGGCGCCTCGCCGCGCGGGGCACGCCGGGAGCGCTGTCCTCGGCACTGGGCGTCCCCCGGTTGTCAGGGTAACCGCGCCCCTGGTGCCCTGAAGCGTGAGGAGTGCGCCTGCGGTCAACCGCCTGCCTGTTGGCCTCGGCCCTGGTGGCCCGCAGCTCCTCTTTCCAGGGCAGCGGCGACAGCACGCTCCTAGCAGAGTCTGTGAGGACGGAGCGTGCGGGCGCGGCCTGCTCACAGTGGGCGCTCACCGAGCGTCCCCGCCCCCGGCTGGAAGAGGAAGAGGTGGGCGCGCCGGAGGGAGACTGGACACTCCCGCTGTGGGCGGAACTTTGCGGGCTGGGAACTGCCTTCACCCGAGTCTGCGGCTCCCGGGACGCGCGGGGCGGGACGCGCGGGGGCGGGGCGAGCGGGGGCGGGGCGAGCGGGGGCGGGGCGAGCGCGCGGGGGCGGGGACGTGACCGGGCGCGGGGACGACGACGCGAGCGGGCTCCGGTGACCATGGCGCAGTGGGCTCGACCTGCTCTCCGCGCGCTCGGACTCTGGGGCCCGAGCGGTGAGCTGGCCTGGGCCCGCCGGCTTCGGTTCGTCCGGGTAGCAGCCGCGGGGCGGGCAGAGGGAGACGGGTGCCTCGGGGCTGCCGTGGTGGCCCGTGGCCGGGTGAAGGCCCGCAGGGGGCTCAGTGCCCGGCGCGGCGACCCTCGGGTCCCCTCGCGTGGTGGGCGGGGCGGCAGCAGAACCTGACCTGTCCGGAGTGTTCCCCGATCAGGTCTCGTTCTTCTCGCGGTTCCCCGGGCGGGAACGGTGACACCCACGTGCCTGTTGTTGACATTGCCACCCTTAGTTTGGTCTGTACCTGCCCTTCCGCTTAGCGGTCCGTCTAGGACTTACTGCCCTGTCAGAACCCACGTTCTTGACTGGATAACTCCTAATCCTTAGTTATTACAGAGAACGCTGCGGTGAGTTACCTAGTTGGTAGCTCACCTTTTAAAAAATATATTTTTATTGGTCTCAGAGGGGAAGGGAGAGGGAGAGATGGAAACATCAGTGACAAGAGAATCATCCACCCGCAGCCTCCTGCAGGATTGGCCCGCAGCTCCCCACCTCCCCACTCCACATGTGCCCGACCTGTAATCGACTTTGACCTCCTGGTCAGCGGTCAGTCACTGCCCTCCGCCGCCAGGTGGGAGCTCACCCCTTAGGTGAATTCCGGGTCGTGCCACTCCTGGGTCTAAAGCCGAGCGCACTTTTATCGTCCCCCGAGAGGTCTTGCAGGTAGCACCCCACCTGCGTGTGCAGAGCCCTCCGCCGGTCGCTGCGGACTGGGGAACCGTTGTGTGGGAGCTGGGCCAGCATGCAAAACCCGTAAGGCCCACGGTGGTTAGGAAACTAATTTAACTGCCGATATTGGATTAGTATTATGTAGATGGTGACACATTCGCGTGGTGCCATCTCACACAGCTCCTAACATCGTGGTGAAAGGTGACGGAGTGATTCCGAGGACTCTGTTCACCTGAAACCTGTAAACCCTGGGTCTGTGAGGGCACAGCTGGCATTGGGCCGACCTCGCTCCCTGCAGCCTGCCCCTGTGCCAGGCTCTGCAGGCACCTGGAGGGGGTCGTAGCTGAAGAGTGACCTGAGCTACCAGGGGCCGATAAGGACTGGGACTGCCATTAAAGGCCTCGCTACCCCTGTCCCAGAGCAGGGGGCACAGGGGCTGGGAGCAGCAGTGCGTTAGCACCGGCTTTCTGCTGGCAATTTCTGCCCTTTGAGGTGTGTGTGTGTGTTTAATTATTGTATTCTTAATGATTTCAGAGAGAGAGAGAGAGATAGAAACATCAATGAGGAGAGAACCATTGATTGGTGCCTCCTGCACGCCCCACATTGGGGATGGAGCCCACAACCCGAGCCTGTGCCTGACCAGGAATCCAACTGTGACCGCCTGGCTCACAGGTGGATGCTCAGCCCCCAGGCACACCTGCCGGGGAGGGAGAGCCTGGGCTGGGAGGCGGGCAGCTCTGTTTCTAAGAAAGAATTGCCGCGGCCTTGCTTGGCTTCGGCAGCCGAGGCCCACGCGGTGCCCCCAGCCTTGCGTGTGCAGCCTGTCCCTTTCTCATCCATACCCGTCAGGCCAGGGTCACAGGTGACGCTTTGTGTGGCCAGAGAGGTGGCGACACTGGAAGTGCGTGTGGACTGAGTAGCAGGTCCCTGAACTGCCCGCCACTGAGCCAGAGCGGAGTGAGGCCGCCCGAGGGTCACAGCATGAGGGGCAGGGGCGGCCCTAAGCTCAGAGGAGGACGGAATTCTCCCGGCTCAGCAGGGGCTTCGTGAGGAGCGGCCTGGCTTCTGGGGGCCAGTGGCTGGTGGAGGCTCGGGGAAGCAGGGAGCCCCTGGGACTGAGAGGAGGGTGTGAGGTGTCCCTGGACTGGGTGTGGCTGAGGGGGTCCCGTGGGCGAGGAGCTGTGAGCCCTCAGGCCGTGCAGCAGGCAGCCCGCAAGGCCTGGTCCCGACTGGTGAGGAGCAGACAGAGAGGGAGGGGGTCAGACCTGGAAGATGAGCCCCAACTGTCCTGCCCGGAGTCTGAAGACGTGCTCTAGGGGCTTCTTCCTTTCAGGGTCACAGCGAGTTAAAGTCTCACTTTCCGGTTTTGAGTCATCGTCTGGGGAGGGTTGTCCGATCGATGGTTGCCTCTCTTTTCCCGTCAGGGTGGAGGGGTCACACCTGGAGTGTGGGAAGGGCCGAGCGGCTGGCAGGCCTGCACTCGGGGCGAGTGGCCAGCGCCGTGGTGGGGTGCCAGCGAGGCCCCACCCTCAGGCCTTGTGCTCCTTGGCTGCTTCTGTGTCTCCCAGGGGCTTTCCCGAGGCCTCGCCGAGCCCGCGGCTTGTTGGCTGTGTGTCTGGCCCTGTCGCCGTGGCAGACCCTCCCGCTCCCCAACAGGGAGCGCCCTCCTCGGCATGGCGGGGATGCTGGCAGTGGCAGAGGCGGCATTAGAACCCCTGGCTGTCAGGGTGCAATGCTGCTTTCTGGAAGGGTCTCTACAGCCCCCTTCCCATCCCGACAATAAGAAGTGTAACTTTATTTAAACGGTACTGTGTGTGTGTCACATCCGGGCTGGTATGGACTGCTCTGCAGAGCGGGCCGCAGCCCACAAAGGGGGTGCCCTGGCTCCGGCCTGGCCTGTGACCTTCCTCACGCACACATGGTTCCCAGTTATGGGAATGGCTTCGTCCCAGGACTCGTTCCTGCTGGGAAAGGTGGGCACCGGGGGGCAGGAGGGTCGGAGGCTGGCTCAGCCATGGGGCGGGGGAGGGGCGGGCTGCTCGCTCTGGACCACCTGCCTGGACTTGACGGCGGCTCCCTGGCCACTCCCTTTCCATCAGTTCCACCGTTGGACGGCCGCCCTCCTGTCCTTCTGCTGGTGTCTCCAGTGTCTCAGGAAACGGAGGCGACAGCGCAAAGGAGAAGCTCTCCCTGCAGGACGTGGCGGAGCTGATTCTAACACGGGCCTGCAAGAGGGTGGTGGTCATGGTGGGGGCTGGCATCAGCACGCCCAGCGGCATCCCCGACTTCAGGTGCCGCCCTGCCCGTGCCCCTCCCCACTGCATCCCCTCCCCCCCATTTCCCCCTCACTCCACTCCTCCCCCCACCCAACTGTCCCCCCATAGCCCACTCCCCACCCCAACTCCCCCTGCCGGTGCCCCCCTCCCCCCTCTCCCCCTGCACCCCCTCCCCCTGCACCTCCTCCCCTGGCGCCCCCTCCCCCGGCGCCCCTCTCTCCTTCTGAGGCTCCGGCTGCTCTTGCAGGTCTCCAGGGACCGGCTTCTACAGCAGCTTCCAGCACTGCGATGTCCCGTACCCTGAGGCCATATTTGAACTCACCTTCTTCCTCCACAACCCCACGCCCTTCCTCACGTGGGCCAAGAAGATGTACCCGGGGAACTACAGGCCCAACGTGATCCACTACTTCCTGCGGCTGCTCGAGGACAAAGGGCTGCTCCTGCGGCTCTACACGCAGAACATCGACGGGCTGGAGCGAGGTGAGGCCTCCCGGCAGCTGTCCCACACCCTCCCTCCCTCCCTCCCTCCCTCCTGTGCCTCTGACAGCGCCAGGTCCGGCCGCACAGGCCCGTTCCAGCACCTGCTGCTGGTTTCTGGGGACCTAGGCTGCTCTCTCCCTTCTCGGGGCTGGGATGGGGCCTGTGGAGAGTGTGAGAAGCAAATGCCTCGAGTTACATATGTAATCTACAAATCCCCCGTGGGCGCCCTCACAGATGAGGACTTTCACACCATCATGCAGAGGCTTAGGAGCGGGCGGCAGTGATCCCGGCCGGTGCTGAGCTCTGCGCTGGCCCCCACCCGTGAGGATCACGTGCTGGGCCCTTTCCCTCCCGCAGTGGCGCCTACAGGTGCTGACCGGCGCTGACCGCCACTGCCAGCCACCCACCACGCAGCCGGGCGGCACCTCGACTTGGAGAATTGCTTCCTTGCTGCCAGGTCGTCCAGCAGGGGACTCCCGGGGAACTGTGCTCCCTGGCCGTGGGCTCTGTGGGGTGTGGCGTCAGGACGAACACGGACCGTGGGAGGCCACCCGCAGCTGGACCCTGTCTGTCCCCACGGCACTCAGAAGCCACTGCCGGAATAGCTGTGTCTGTCTGTCTGTCTGTCCGTCCAGTGCTGGAAATGGACTGCGTCTCCTTTCCCCTCTCACCTTCGCTCGGTGTGCGTGGAGCAGAGCAGCAGAGGCTGCTTCCCCAGGCTGGCTACTCCGGGAGCCCCCTCTGAGGGAGGACTCCCCCTGGGCCTCCAAGCTACCCACCGCCCACCCCCAGCAGCACTGAGCTGAGCTTTCCCTTCCAGCGGCCGGCATCCCTGCCTCGAAGCTGGTGGAAGCGCACGGCTCCTTTGCCTCTGCCACCTGCACCGTGTGCCGCAGAGCCACCCAGATGGAGGGCTTCTGGGTGAGTGCCCCCTGGGCTCCGCTGTGCCGGCTGCCCGCAGGCGGGGTTGTCTATGACTGGGTCCTGAGGATGGAGCGGGGGTAGCTGGGACCGTTTTTCTTTATTTAAAAGT